TTTTCTCTCTCTCTCTTTCTGTTCCCCTCTCTCTCTCTCGCATCATCATCTGACCCTCTCTCTCCCTTCCCCTCACTTAGCATATGAGTAACCCTTCTCCCCACTCACTTGGAAAACATTGCCAGGGCACGAGCGGAGAACGAAATCAGACCTCACTTGGTGGAGAAAGAGGACAAAGGGGGGGTAGCCGGTCCCTTGTGCCACAAAGAAGGCAAGAGAGAGGACGTCAAAAAAAAAAAAAAAAAAAAAAAAGTGGGAGAGGCGGAATCCGGAGGAAAGCATAAGTTGAAAGTGAGGTCAGTTTGACTAAACCATCTCCCTGACTGCATGACTATGAGAAGAGAATGGGCTGATTGAACAACAAGAGGGAACAATGAGCAGCCAAAGGACTTGAAAGAATAGGCATGTGGGAAGGGTTATGTGTTGACCCCGTGATGGGGGATTGTATGGATCTTCTTGTGTGTGTGGGATTGTGTAGGTAAGTGATGGATAAAGATGCCTTGAGCGGGATAGGGGTAAGTGGAACCGGGCATCAAGAGGGAAAGGGAAGAGGGCGTAGGGGCTATGGGACCCTTGACATAGAACTACCCCATGGATATGACTTGTGCGTTTGAAGACTTGGGGTGCAAATGGAAGTGTTGTCATGCCAAGGAAAAAGTGATGTTGTGTGCGCATGCATATGAGGACCCCGGAAAGACTAAGGGGCCTACTTCAACAAGGTAGAAAGCAAATTGAGAGATCCGATGGATGCGTAGAGGCAAGGGGGAGGACGGCCCCACCGCACCCCGATGACGCCATATAGCCAAAATGCTTAGGAAACTGGTGCGTGGCCTAAGGATGACGCTTAGCCTACGCACCAGAGAAGAGAAAGGCTCAAAGAACCCCTGGACTGCTTGCGTATTGGAAGGAGCAGTTGCTTGAGAACACAATAAAGAATCAAAAAAATCAGCGTTGCGGAACGACCAGTGAGACTACCACCCGGCGTGAGGGCTTGTGTACATCCCCAATGTCAAAGCTCTCTCGCGCGATGGCCCTCCCCCATCCATCTCAAAGCACTAGGTGGGGGTGACCTTGGGACGAATGGCCCGCGCCGTGAGTATGAGTGTGGGCGGGCCGAGCCAACTGGGAGTCGTAGTGTTGTCGACTAAGGCTCGAAAGTCTACCGGGGTTTGGCCCTACAAAAATGGTGGAGGTGACGGGCATGGGGTTAAATTGACCCTTGCGATTCCGATGGGGGCGCCCGACGCATTGACGTGTACACAAACCAAGATAAGAAAAATGAACTTGTGTTTGCTCTTTCCCTTGTGAGAAATCAGATTTGAGGGCAGTTGGGCGCATGGCATGACCAGGCCTGGAGGAATAACATGCATGCTTTGCACTTGATCAGTCGTTCCTTTGAGGAATGACTCTAACCCTCCTTCATCCGGTGCTGGTGTTCGCCAGTCTGGGGAAGCCTTGGGTAAGTCGTACGTCGACCCTTCCTCTTCGTATGAAAGAAGGGCTCCGGTTACCTGGCAGGCGGTTGGTGCTTGGCTTAGGCCAAGTTCCAATGAAAATCCCATGGCGGAGTGATCCGACCGGATGGGTGCTTTCCCCTTCTTCTTTTGAGCCCAACGGGCTCATGCACTTTGCACCTTGTTAATGATTGAAGGAACCAATATGAACACAACGGGTCATCAAGAAAAAACAATCCTACCCTATGAAAGGACATACAAGTGAAGAGAAGGGAATGAAGGGAGTTGCTAGACTCCAAGGAAAACTAGCTCACCTTGAAGACTCTCACGAGAAGGAACCAACCACTATGCATGAAAGTAGGGGGAGAGACACTTATTGTCCTGAGAGAAAATATGTGAGTTATGGGTACGAAGCATTGGGTGTACCAAGGGAAAGACACTTGTACTATGTGTGTCCCACTTGGGACTTGTGATTGCATGATTGGGATTTCGAGCGTTCTGCCATTTGGAAGGAAAGGATTGGTTTGCACCGGCCGGTGCGGGATGCGAGCTGGTCGTCCTCTTTGAAGTTCACCGGGTTCCGTGTGTGGGAGTCGGGCCACTGGACTGTCATGCAAGGGTTGGTCTCGTCGGCTGGCTAGTAGCATTCTCACCGGAGCGATCCGAGCATGGCTCGATGATCTTGCCCAGGTGGGATGTGAAACCTCTTCAGGCAGGGCGGCTGCTTGGCGGCAGACGGCAGGGGGACCACTGCATATGGAGCAAGGAAGGAGCCTCGGAGGCAATTGGGAGCTTCTCGTAGCATGGTTTGGGAAAAATTGTTCCTTATCGGACTGATGGAAGGGAATGTTTGGACGACTGGCTCCAATGGCCTTACCGAGATGTGTGGGGTGATTCCCGAGATTAACGGTGGGTACACGAGTGGCAAGTCGGGATGGGGTATTCTGGGTAAGGAGGAAAGGGCGAAAGCCTTGCTAAGACCTGGGTACCGCGCTCGCGACGGTTGAGCTGTGTTTGAGGTATGGGATAAAACCCTACCGATAGTACCAGCGGAGAGACCATATTGGGATGGCCGGTGAGGAGATGACCGGCCCGTATGTGAGGTTGCCTGATTTTTTTGTGTTCCTCCTTTGTAAAAATTAATTGAGATTGGACTGCTGGACGGACACTCTTCTAAGTCTATTCCCCCTCCCTTCTAAGTCCACACGAGTGAGAGATGATCGGAAGGAAGAAGGATAGAGGTCAATTGGAATGGAACCAAGAGAAAGAATGTGGGCAAATGGATGGCCGACCGAGGGAATTATGAGAAAATGGGTACTTAGGAATGGGAAGGTAAATTAGGGAGACCTTAATGGGGGGTCTGAAATAATCCTCATTTAGGAAAAGGGGTTGGACGACCAGAAGAACCGGTTGGTACTCTTTCATGAAAACAGGGGCCGGGTGCTGGAAACAAGACGGCGCAATGGTTGTTTCCCCTGACTTATACCAACGGTCCAGAGATGCAAGTAGATGTAAAGGATGGGGTATCGGTCGTCCTTCTGGAAAATGGAACATGGACGGACCTTGAACCAGCGTATCAAACGGTAATGCTGGAAGGAGAGGATGCTTTCCTTTGGATAGAAACAATATGGACTAATGTCAGCTTGACGAGGTTGTCACCAAGTTTAATGGATTTGGAATTTCGAGGGACCGTGGAAGCCCGGGGGTGGGTCTACTTATCGCAAGGTGGGGAGAGAGCTATGATCATAGAGTTGGCACTCGGGAATACGCCGGATGAATTGTTTAGGAAGGCAGAAGCAGAGGTTGTATGGGCTGCATGTCAGCGGCGGAAAATGGAAATGGAAAAGGTAGACGTGCGAGTGAAACTTGGGGATAGGGGAAGCATGAGGCGACCCGTAAGAACCATGCAATGTGTGTTGCCCCCCTTCCTAGTAGATGCAGTTTTTGGAACGCGGAGCAGGCTAGTACGGATATGCCAGTCTATGACGAACCTCGGGCTATACCAATGCGCTAGGCAAAAAAATTTTCAGTTATCGGTAGAGATGGGGCCGTTCGAGGGGAACTGGGCGGACAAGCTAGCCGAGCTACTAAACTGTCTTAGCATAGACAATATCTTTGTTCATAGCGTTGTGCATTGGGGGATAGTCAATAGGAGTGTGGCAATAGGGGAGACGTTCCTAGATGAGGTAAGGGAGTTGGTGTACGACGAGGAGGACGACTTCAATGATGAAGATGAAGATGAAGAGATAGAGGACAGGGACTTTTAAGAGGGGTAGGGTGACTTAACTTAGGGAGGATGGGTGGTCTGGTATTGTGCAGGAAAGGGGAAAGATGACTAAAGAAGAAAGGATGATGGAATACCCCTTCAAAGGTTGGGAACCACGGCGACTCAGAGGAGGAATAGAAATGTCTATACCAACAGGGAACGGATGGGGAGGGACCATGTGCGACTGGATTGGGTTTGAGGTTGTCCGGGACTTGTCATATGTATGGATAGAGCGGATTTGGAACCCGATAAGGGAAGAGGAAGGTTGGGATGATATAGCAGAAGGCAAGGTAGAGTCAGTTGGAACGATTGTCCTTTCCGAGGATGGATGGCACCTGTTTTGCACCATGTTAGCAATGGGACAGAACCCGATGTGGCTTCTAGGGGATGCAGAGGCCCGAACCCAAGAGGAAGGCAAGCTGTTCGCCAACGAGGGATGAGACGAAGTTAGTAGCAGAGTTGTGATGGGAGGATGGAAGGAACTCAAGCCCCCAAGTCTACGGATAACGGTTTGGGTACCGGAATTCATAACCGAATGAATTGGGGGGTTTGAGCACATTTTAGAAGTAGCCGACTCCATGAGAAAAGTGCATATAGAGTGTGCCTGGTTGACTGAGGAGTTCTATAGGCTCTCATTGAAATATGGGCCCTTCAACGGGGATAAAGCCGAGGAAGCTATCATTGTCCTAAGAATAGGCAGGTATGACCGCCTAGAGGTAGAGGCGGAGTCTTGGGACGCCATAGTTAGCCAGGAGGCGGCGGCCGCACCCTCCTACGTAGACGACGTCTTTAAACTATTTGAGGTACTGTGGTTCGACTGAATGAGGCTTAGGAATCAAACACAGCGAAAAGGCCTGAGTATGGAGGGTGCTTGTGAAGTAAGGTGTAACATAAGAAAGGGAATGTGTACATCAGGCCGTAGATGGTGCATAAGGATCGAAACAAGGGGGAAGTGACAACAACTGAAAAATGGGGGTCGGGTAGAATTGAACGTGTATGAGTTGGGGATAGCGGCAGGAACCAGTGTACGATAAGTAGGGAGGGTTGAAAGACTAAAACACGAAAGGCATGGAATCTCGGTGGGTGCAGCGATCGGACTAAGAAGGCAGGAAATGAGACATTGCGAGATGGCCCGACGAATGACGTTCTGGGCGGATAGACCTCGTGGAATCCTGCCACCAAGAATATCCGAGGGCGGGGTCGAGATGGTCCAATATGAACTACGAAAACCAGGGAGGGACAGAAGGCCGGCAAGGAAGGTCCGGATAACAGTGTGACAGGTGAGGCCAGCAGCCCCGAGGGCGGCCTTAAGAAGATAGTGTCGTCCCTTGCGCGAGCACTAAACAAAAATCAAGGCTACCTAGCGGAAGCTAAGAAGAAGTTGACATTTGATGGGGCGAACATTACGGAATTCCTGATAGATTACGAGAACCTGGTTGCGCTGTTGAAATGGACCGAAGAGGAGAAGATGGACCACCTGGGACCGCATATGTCTTTGAGCCTAGGACGGGACATAATGGCCATCGTAGCCGCAAGCCGATCTTGGAAAGAAACCCGGTATGTGATGATGAGAAAGTCTCTGGCAGCAGAAAAGATGGCAACGGAGGTCGATTTAGCGGCAGTCCAGAGAAAGAACTTCGCAACGTACAATGACTTCCTACGGGAGTTTACTTTGGTAGCACTAAGAATCCCCGGGGTTACGGATCGAATAATGAGTAAGTATTTCCTCAGATAGTTCTCCGAGTTCGACAAAGACAAGATCCTGCCGGCTTACCAACAGACGAGCAAATTTGTAAACACCAGGGACGTTGATTTCAGTACGGTAACAGATCTGGCCGAAAAGACGGTAGTGACCGAGACATTGGCCTTGCTTAAGGAAGGGGAGATTATAGACTTGACCAGTAGGACGGGCGACAAGGTGAAAAAGGGGATTGAAAGTCTATATGAACGGGTGCACGGAGTCGACAACAAGATTGAAAGGATGGAGAGCGCGCTACTAGTTATGCAGGCGCAAGTATCCCGGCCCCCCCTCCCGCCCCAGGAAGCAGTAGTTCCGCCAGGGGTGGCCAATCGTGGATTCGGACGGAGAGATCCCGCTAACGAGCAATGCAAGTACTGTACCGCGATAGGACATTATGTGCGCGCGTGCCCAAAACTCAACCATGATATTCTAAAAACAAGATGTACCAGGTCATTAAAGGGGGAGATATTTGGACCACAAGGAAACGGGTGAACTGGAACTCACCAGGAGGGATGCGGCGAGCCATTATAATGCTCAACAGGCTAGAAATAGCAGCCGTAGAAGTCGAACCGGTGGGCGAGATCATCTGGGATCAACGCCAGGGGCGCGGGCCGCAGGTCGATTTCATTTTGGAAAACGCCGGACATGATAGGGTGAACGCGACTACTCGGCTAGGGACGGTTGGGAGAAGGATTAACCGTGACACCGTGATGGAGGAGGTTGCTGGAAGTTCGGAACCCAGGCAGAGCCTGAGGCCGAGGAACCGGAAAAGGTCCATGAGAAACCTAGGGAAGAGGAGTCTGCATACAAAGTTTCCGCTGCCAAGAAGAAGTTTAGGTACCAAATCCCGATCTTATCCTTACCTGAGATCGACGACACCATTAGCAAGTTACTAGGGACCATGGTGTCAGTGTCTTTTCAGACTATGCTGCTGGCTAGCCCTAGGTTGCTCAAAGGGCTTAGACAACTGTTGACCCGGCGGCGAGTAGAAATAGGCGACAACCCCGAACTACCTGAAGGGGAGAGGGAGGAGGAAGTTCCGCAAGAAGTGGCTAACCTGCAGAGGAGTCGCGGGGACTTGGAGGATCTCGAGAAGGCCTTTGCAGACATTCGTTTGAGCTTGCCCGACCGAGAGGGCGGCGAAGTCATGAGATCGCCACCGGGGATGAAGCTTAACTTTCATGTGCTACCCGTAGGGAAATTGAAGATCCAGATCGGGAGTCATCACACCGACACATTAGTAGATGGGGGGGCAGAAATCACCCTTATAAGAAGAGATTTCGCAACGATCACGGGATGTACGGTAAACAAGGAAGTAACAGGGAGCATCCGGGCAACTGGCGGGGAAATCCCGTTCGCTGGGTACGTCACGAAGTGTGCTGTAAAGGCAGGGGTCAGGGAATCAATCTGGTCATTTCAGCGGATGACCGTAATGGAGGAAGTGGATCACGACATAATCCTCAGGAGACCGTGGTGCGCGAACGTAGAGATAATAGGCATGCACTTGCACGATGGCTCATACATGGTAGACATAGAGGACCCGGTGACCGGCTGGGGAGAGATCCTCCGACTCCTTGGAACGGGAGGAGATCCCCCAAGGGAGAAATTGGCAACATGGTCGCCGTCATTCGAGGATAGCACGCGAAAAGGGGCTTTCGCACGGATGGAGGGTATGAGAGAAAGAGTAGAAATCATAATTGAGGAAGCGTTCAATAAGGAGTGGATCAAGATGGGCCTGCCCCAGAAGAAGAGGAGGCAGGAGGACAAAGTCCTAGGTGTTATGGTAGCAGAAAAGGAGTCAGAGGTCGAACTTGGTGCTAGCCCGCCCAAACGGAAAGAAATGCGCGTAGACATACCGGAAATCGCACTCGAGATCCCCAATCTATTGCAACTCATCAAGGCCCTCACATACCACAAGGTGGGAGTGGATTCGGCAGCCTTGGCCAAGTTCGAAAGAGAGGTGGAAAAGGGATATTGCCTGAATGGGAAATTAGTTAGCATTCAACCACGAGTCATAGAGGCGACGGGGGCAATTCCGACTGTTCATTTTTTAGGAGAAAGATCCCGGAAGGAAGTGTTCGAAAGTACAAGCCGGTAGGGAAGAAAGCAAAACCGGTCTCGATCCTGCTAGAGACATCAAAGGAAAAGGTTATGGAGAAGGAGGAAGAGGTCCTTTGAGTGATCCGAGAAAGAAGGGCAACAGAGGGACATCGGATACCAGATGAGGTAGCAGACACAATGAAGATAGGGATAGACGGGTTTTTAACGGAAGAAGAAAACCGCCTGATCAAAAGGACCTGCCAAGAATTTCATCTGGCGTTTGCCTTCAGTGATCACCAGAAGGGACGACTGGATGCGAAGTTGATCCCTCCGGTCAGAATCCACACGGTAGAACATGAGTGCTGGAATGACAAGGGACCATCCTATGAATTTGGGATAGCGAGAGAGGTAACAGACCTCCTCCGACCAAAGATGGACTCCTTCGTTGCGGAGCCTACGGCATCGCCATACGCAAATCGGTGGTTCGTCTTTCGGAAGCCTAATAAGACACTAAGGTGGATTCAGGACCTGCAGAAGTTGAATGCGGTAACCATCCGGGATGCTGGCTCGCTACCTCAGACTGACTTATTAGCAGAATCGCACGCCGGTCGGAGCATTTACTCCCTGATAGATCTGTACTCAGGGTACGACCAACTTCTATTGGATGTTCGGGACATGCCATACACCGCTATGCACACCCCGGTAAGCCAACTACAGATGCAAGTGACACCTATGGGATTCACAAACGCGGTGGCCGAAGCGCAACGCAAGATACTCGCCGTGGCCGGGGACATGTTCCCAGAGAAATGTGAACCTTACATCGATGACAATCCGATCAAAGACGCGCAAGAGAAGGACGAGACGGAAGTCCAGCCAGGGGTCCGACGTTTTGTGTGGGACCACCTACAGGACATCAAGGATCTACTCCGACGGTTCCTAGTATACAACATTACGGCTAGTGGACCGAAGAGTATCCTAGCAATACCGGAGATAAATATACTAGGATTTCGTTGCGGTGCTTACGGCAGGAAGCCAGATCCGGCAAAAACCGACAAGATATCACAGTGGTTGACGCCACTGCGCACGACGACGGAGGTAAGGGCATTCCTAGGCGTAGTCGGCTTTTGAAGGATCTTCATTAAGAACTTTGCCAAGATTGTTGAGCCTATCCGGGCTATGATAAGGGAAGAAGGAACCATGGATTGGACGGAGGAGCGAGAAGGGGCTGTCTAAAGGCTCAATGACATACTGACATCTGAGACAGTCGCCCTTTCCGCGCCTTGTTTTAATGACGAAGTGGGACGACTCTTCATCCTAGAGACGGATGGAGGACCTTTGGCCGTAGGAGGTGTGTTGATTCAAAGGGATCAGGAGGAAAAGAGAGGCCGATTAGGTTCGAAAGTAGAACCCTGAACTCCGCAGAACGGCGGTACTCGCAATTCAAGAAGGAAGTCCAAGCCATCTTGCATTGCCTTAAGACCTTCCAGACATACCTATTTGGGAGGCGGTTTATCTTAAGGATCGATCCGACGAATGTCGCAGGGGCCCTAAAGAATTACAGGCCTATAGATCCGACGATAGGGAGATGGGTAGGATTCATCTGGCAGTTCGATTACAAGATCGAACGGATTGCTGGAATCCGCAACAAGGCAGATGGGCTGAGTCGGGTTTGCATCACTCCCGAAGGGATGGAGGATGCAGAGCCCATAGATGCCTTCCTCGATACGAAGGAGAAACTTTTGCGGTGGATAACGAAATGATGAGCGAGGGATGCACATCGGGAGAACTATTGATCTAGACTTTGCAGAAGGGGGCACCTGCCGTAGTAGCTGAACTTAGGGAAGGTCCAGTTACCACTCGAGGACGCAGAGAAGAAGAGGACTCATGGGGAGCGATAGTAGGACCGAAGGAGGAGCTGATAGCAATGGCGGTTGAAGGGGGCCTGGAAGCAGTGATGAGCTTAGTGGAATCTTGGGAAAGGAAAGAGTTGCAATGGGTGGTAAATCAGATGCAGGAAGGAAAGGATGGGGGCAAGGAAGGAGAGAAGTTTTTCTATTTTCAATCATACGAAGGGCTCTTTCGAACGATCGACTTGTTGTTGGTAGGAAACAAACAACCTACGGAAGTCAGTATTAAGGCAAGAGAAGAAGTCGAAAGGTACGTCCCAAGGGGCGGACATTTGTTCCGGAGGGAGGAAGGTGCTATGCCCAGAAGGGTTGTGTGCGGAAGGTCTAGGCAAATAGACGTTATCCAGGCAATGCACGACGGGTTAGCGGGAGGACATCGATCTTCCAAAGGAACACTTGCAAAGATAACGCCGCTCTATTATTGGCCAGGCATGGTAGGCATGGTCGCCATATACTGCCAGACTTGCCTTATTTGCCAAGAACGAAGCTCGGTACGAGTCTTCGAGCCGCTTAGACCAACGCGGGTGCTAGGGCCGGGACATCTGGTCCACCTCGACCTTGCGGTCATGCCTGTATCAACGAATGGATAGAGGTACATCCTAGATGCGCGAGACAACTTGAGTGAGTTCGTGGAGGCAGTCGCCCTAAAAAAAAAGATAGGAAGGAGTGTGGCGGACTGAATAGAAGACTTCTACTTAAGGCACCCGTTCGTGAGGAGGTTTATAGCAGACAATGAGACGGAATTTGTGAACCAAAAAGTATTGGGGATGCTTAAGAGACTCTGCGTACCGATCAAACTCATCGAGCCGTATCACCCTGAGGCCAATGCCCCGGTGGAAAGGGGGCACCGAACCTTGAAGAACACGATTGCAAAGCTCGCGGCAGACCATCTGGGGAACTGACCTAGGTATTTTTAGCAGGCTGTTTTTGCAGAGAATATGACTCCTAAAAGGACAACAGGATGTATCCCGACAGAGTTTTAGTACGGAAGAGAGATCGACTTTCTTGTGGAAGCCTAAGTACCTACCTGGAATAGGTTAGATAATGATCCACAAATGACCACTGAAGAGTTAATCGAGGCAAGATGTCAACAAATCCTTAAGAATGAGGAGGTCATGGAAGACATCGCAAGCCGGGTGCTGGACAGCAGAATGAGGAACAAAGCAAGGTGGGACCAGGTCAAGAATGTCAGAAAGGAGCCACTTCAGGTGGGGGAGATGGTACTGCTAAGGAACTCGGCACTAGAAAGTACTTGGTCGGGACAGTTGGGAAGGAGGTTCAAACCCCTACCAGGTCGCCAAGCGGGTGGGACTGAACACCTTCGAACTGGAAGATTTGGATGGAACTGGATTGAAAGGGCCCTTCCTGGGGCAATGACTGGTCAGGTTTCTAAGTCGGGACCCAGTGGAACAATGGCTTCAGGAGGCCGAAGATAAGGAAACTGAAGAGCCACAAGCTAAAGACTAACCACAGCCTTGCCCACACTATGGTTTGTCTCTGACCATGTTCGTGGGACTGTCATTTTTTTGGGACTGGTGCTTTGGTTTGGACCTGTCTCTTATACACATCTAGATGTGTATAAGAGACAGGGTTTCTAAGTCGGGACCCAGTGGAACAATGGCTTCAGGAGGCCGAAGATAAGGAAACTGAAGAGCCACAAGCTAAAGACTAACCACAGCCTTGCCCACACTATGGTTTGTCTCTGACCATGTTCGTGGGACTGTCATTTTTTTGGGACTGGTGCTTTGGTTTGGACTGACTGAGGTTGAAAGGTAGCATGACTTGGGGGTTGCAATATCTGGCTTATGTGACAACGGAAAGGGATGTTTGGGGCATTGTACCATAATTTTTGACGGGAAAAATATGGGGTCATCACGAACGACGCATTCGCATGTATAAAAGGGGCGTGATGCGAGGGATACTGGGTGCATTTTGGGAATGTCTACCGGCCTAAGGGGGGGGGAGGCGTAAGTGTATGAGGGACATTGTGGGTGTTGTTTTGTTATACAGAACTTAGGAGTAAAACGAGAAAAGACAAAAATGGAATTCGGCAACGAGAACGACAGCGGGGCAATCAACAGGCCTACCGGAGGGGAAGAAGTTGGACCAAGCTAAGGGAGGAGATCCGAAGAACCTTGTTGGTGGGTATAGCCCCATACAGACTGAAGACGAGGGGGACGAGGAGGAGGATGTGCGAAAAGTCATAAAAATCAGCAGCGGGGATGAGAGGGATGAAATCTCAAGGTCTAGGGAAGAGGGGCGGTCTCCGATGCACCAGCCAGGCGATGGGGCTTTCAGATGGGAGGACGAGTTCGGCCCAGCGCCCAGTCACTGGTTTCAGCAATGGACCAATGTAATCAGGCACGAATGGATTATCAAGACTCGGGCACTCGCAAGGGCAGGGGTGGAAGCCACACCACTGGATTTTTTCAACGAGGCTGAGTTGCATAAAATTGTAAGGATGAAAAGAGAGATCGAGACCTACGACCTGGGGGTTAGGAAGCCTGCCGAGGAATGGAGTGGACAAGGAAACTAGGCGAGACGAGGCGCAAGGCAGTAATAGGAACTAGGTGTTGGCTTAGCATTGAAAAGGATCGCTGCTTTCTGTCTGCAGAGATATGAGAATGACAAGAACGTGTATAATATGGGCAAGCTTGCTAAGGAGAAAGTAAAAAGAGGGCCAGCTAAGGCTGTGTCACGCTAAAGTAGAAGATAGTTGTTGAGGCTATTTTTGGATGAGCTACCTTGGGATGAGACTAATTGGGAGAGGGCGTATTGTGAATTTTGGATGGAACAAGGATTATGCTTTTGAGAGAGGAAAACCTTGAGTACGGATTGACGAGCAAACCATGGCATTGAATGACTGGTCGAGTACGAGAGAGGTTAGGGAACCTATGGGTTAAGGGGCGTCAAGAACACTCCTTCCCTAGGAGCCTAATCCAACTGAGTCATGAATGAGACTGAGAATAGCCGAAACCTGAGAGATCAGGAAGAGTGAAAATGGAAGGGGCGCTTTTGTCTTTTGTTATGGATGAACGGCCAGGTGGGCTAGTGCTGCTTGGGGTCGCGAGCCCCAGCTCGAGTGCTAGATGCTAAGTCGAGTGTACACAATCGATGGTACGTTACTGTGATAAATGAAATGGATGGTACATTACTGTGATAAATGGAATGGATGGTACATTACTGTGAGAAATGGAATGGATGGTACATTACTGTGAGAAATGGAAGGAAGAGAACAACACGCAAAAAATGAGATAACCACCTTCTAACCTCCAAGACAGAAATGGGATCCGTAACCTCGAGGCCCACCCCCTCGGGCACTAACATTGAGAATGGAAAAGAATGACCCTAACCAGGCTGTTCGACTTGAGAATGGAAAAGAATGATCCTAACCAGGCTGTTCGACTTGAGAATGGAAAAGAATGATCCTAACCAGGCTGTTCGATTTGAGAATGGATAAGAAAGACCCTAATCAGGTTGTTCGGGAATGACCCCTGACAAGGGTCATTCCTTTTGAAATAGGCACTGGGGTCCCATGCGTATTGGATTGAGAAAAGTTGATTGAGAAAGGGTGATTGAGAATGTGTTGGAATGAGAGAGATGGAAAAGGCCGGTGGGTCGGTCATTGAAAATAGCCAAAGGATGGATGAGAGAGATGGAAAAGGTCGGTGGGTCGGTCATTGAAATAGTTAATGGGATGAATGAAAGAGATGGGAAAGGCCGGTGGGACGGTCATTGAAATAGCTAATGGGAGGAGAGAAATGGAAAAGGCCGGTGGGTCGGTCATTGAAAATAGCCAAAGGATGGATGAGAGAGGTGGAAAAGGTCGATGGGTCGGTCGTTGAAATAACCAATGAGTTGAATGGAGGAAATGGAAAAGACCGGTGGGTCGGCCAAGTAACATTGCCAAGGGGGCGGAAGGAAAATGCGAAAGAGAAGGATAAAATAAAGAAGGCGGAGCCTTAAAGCCGAAGAAGGCAGGGACCGTTGGGACGGTCATAGAAATTGGGTGTTGAGGAATGAGAAAATTGAGGATTGAGTGGGCGGAAGGGTCAGTCTTGAGAAATGGCTATTGAGAGAATGACCGCCAGACCGGCCGTGACGGTGACCTTGTTGATAAGAGGCTGTCAGACCAGCTATGAGAATCAACCTTGGAAGTACCATTGGATTTAATTATTGAGGATTGAATATTGCATTGCATAGGCAGCGGACCCTAGGCAACTTGCAATGGACTTGGAAATAGCATTGAAATGAATTTTCTCTTTTTCTAGTCTTTGGCCTCAGCAGGAGGGGGATACCGGTGCACGCACCGCGACCCCAAGACCTTTATCCCTGTAAGTGAAAAAGTCTCGCCGCAACCTGTTCCTCTTGTAAGGGAATGAGGGTTAAAGGACCAAGGCACCTACCACTTGGATCGGTGCGGGACGTCCGGAACTGACCCCGACAACGAGCTCTAGTCGGGAAGTTCAAATCGCGCCTCGTGTTGAACGCCTAAACGTCAAAGGGTGAGGGAACCAAATGGGCGAGAGAGCCATTCTTTTTTTCTAAGTCTCTTTTGTTCTCCCCAACCACACGCCATGTCGTTGAGGGGCGGCATGGCCGCTTGGAATGGACCACGGCGGCTCGCGTTAAGTTAAGCAGCACTGTCCAGAAGGGAGGAGTTGGGCGTGGTACCGGGTGGAAGCCACAACCACCACGGGGCGCGTGACACCGCCCCGCCGGAACATTACAACCGCTTCGGGACTAATTGCGAGGTCTTCGTAATTGCGCTCGTGGACTAATTGAGAGCCCCAACTCTTTTGAAAGAAAGAGGCCGGATCCAAGAAAACACCACCCGGGAGGAACGATTCGCGAGAAAGCCCTTGCGGCAAGACGGGGTCCTGAGAGGTTTTGGACTGGACCTGCCTGCCAGATATGCGGAGGTACCTCAGTGATGACGCCCGTCTCGTAAGCGGCAAAAGGTCGGACGGAGTAGAGGATGAGGTGAGTTATCAGCAGGGGGAGGATTGATCAACCTTCCTTTTGGGGGCTGATGGGCCGGCATCTGCCTACTCGTTGGTGGGCCAAGGTCTGCGTACCTCCGAGTGAGAACCAGTCGTGCGATGGGAACATCACATTTTAAGTGGGGGGAAGGTGTGCCATCTACCAAAGAAAAAGCGTGCAAAAAAGAAGGGTACCATGAGCGTAAGAATGAATGAGTTATCGACTTTGGGCAGGCTTGAGAAAAAGTTTGGCAAGATGTCCAGAAAA